GACTGCAGGAAAGCAGGTTTGACGAATTAGAGATCTGGCGTTTGCAAGTTAGACTCCTAAAAAACACCTTTGCTCATGTGCAAACAAGTGCACGCACAACCGCTTTCATTTTCCTCTCAAGTCGAGTCTGGGGTGTGTCGTGTGTGATACAGCATCGTCTGCGATATTGTAAGTGTTGTTGTAATGATGTGCGATCTGACATTATCAGGTAGGCTATATCACCAAATCACACACAGAGTGCACTCACATTGATTTATTTGTCTATTAAAACTCAAAATTCCGGGCATTCTAAACTGTAGATGGCAAAAATGTTTCTGTATGCTTTTTATATTTATATAATTTAATAGGCTATAGTTACCACTGGCATCTATTGACGGAATAAAGTTGAGCTGCTGAGGCGAGGCTCACACAACCTCTCCAGGAGAAATCAAAACGCGCAACACTAAGAAACTCAGCATCCTGAGGTAAACATTCAAAATGGAAAGTTTTTATATTTAAAATTCAGTTAGTTAGGCAACAGCACACAACGTTTTCACCATTACGACTGTTTAATATTTCTATAAACAGTTCAATAAGCAAATACAATAATATTAGGTCACTACATTTTACGCGGAAACAGCGCATCTGACAGCAAACAGCTGATTCATTGCTGATTGATTCCGTGTTTTGAACGAATCGGTTGAATCAAAGTTTAATTAGCCCACGCATAAACATCTGATGAATCTGCCGTTTGAACAAATCGTTTGAATGAACGACTCAATGACTCACTCATTAAACACTCACTACTGGCGTTTTAATTTTGATGAAAAGTATCATTTCCACCATCATTTCTTGTTTGTATATTCAAAAGGAAAATGCCCTCTGTAAAGGTTGAAAAATGCCCTTGGATAAAATATAGCCTAAAAAACACGCAGATTTATATGTCACAGCTGATAGAAAACTGATGAGAATATTGCTTATGAATAAATCATATTTGCAAAAAAACAAAACACACACACACACACATATATATATATAGTGTGTGTCACATGTTTCTGTAATGGTTCACTTTCTGTTCCAGACTGTTATGAAGGAATCTGTGAAATATGTCTTGTTTTAATGTGTGAAAGCTGGAAGCATCTAGTAAATATATAGGCAAGGGGCAGGGGGTTCTTTAGACTAAACGGCTAAAGTTCTGGTCCACATTGCAGCTTATTCTGTTGTAGCCAAGAACTGAGACGAACATGTAAAGTGACCAAAGATAGTTTGCTTTGTTTTACTTGCCATTTTGGGGCAGGGTTACCTGAAATGACCAGAGAGTGTTGCAAAGTAGATGTCTATGACCCTGCTGAGCTGACAGTAGCAACTGAAAGTCTCTCTGTAAAAACATAAAGGATTTACAAAGAAAAAAATCTGAGGTAAGGAATTAGTTTCATGTCTGACAGTAATTTAATCCAAAATCATGTTAATGGATGTTAAATGACAGATCTGGTAGCATCTGAATCAGCATGAAGTCTTCTTTAACTGATTCAAAAGTTTGGAATAATTAAGATTTTATGTTTTTCAAAATAAGTCTCTAATGCTCACCAAGACTGCATTTATTCAATACAAAATACAATAAAAACAGTAATATTGTGAAATATTAATGCAATTTAAAATAATTGTTTTCTTTTTTAAATACATTTTAAAATGTAATTTATGTGACACAAAGCTAAATTAAGCAGTCATTACTCCAGTCTTCAGTGTTACATAAACCTTTTAGAAATCATTTTAATATGCTGCTCAGTTATTATCTGTAATGTTTACAAGTGTGAATTAAAATGTTTAAAAAGAAATAGAAGTGGGGGTGGTGATGAAGTAAATTTGATCTCCAGAGTACATTCATAAATAAGATCAAAAATGTTCATGTTTCCTCTTTATGTTAAAGACATTTGAAACAAACCATGTTGCAACACTTATTGGTCTCCTCTAAACAACAATGCAAATAATAATAATGTAATAATAATAATAATAATTACAATTATAATAATGCCATGCTCTTGATGGTGCCAAGGAATTGACTGACATGAAGAGAATGAAATTATTGTTAGAACTGTTATTTTGTATGTTAGTATTTTGTATTCGACTGAAGTGTCAAGACATCTTCAAGATCTTTTTTTTTTGCCCAAGATGCTTTGTCCAGTGATGAGATGAGACATGCAGAAATGAAAATGAGCTATTTGAATAGGAAAATTATTCACATCTTTTCTTCGCAAAAGTCAGCGGGTGTGTGTGTGTGTGTGTGTGTGTGTGTGTGTGTGTTTGTTTGTTACAATTGCGTAAAGCCAAACGAAGGTGCAAACTGAACCTCATCATCTCATTCTGAAGATTAAATGTTAATAAAAGTGTAATTTTGTGTGTTCTGGTGGGTCAGACTCAGATTCAGAGTTTCTATAGTGGTTCACTTTTAGTTCCAGGCTAATATGAAGGAATCTGTGGCAATTTCGCAATTAATTACAAAGAAACAGCAAGTAGCACATTGACATAAACATGAAATTTTGGAATAGAAAGATTGAAATAGTATTTTCTTGTAAAATGTACTCCAGTAATCTTTGTTTTATTTAAAGTTTGAAAATCTTTTTTTCATCTGTGCACTTTTTTTCGAAGATTTGACATCACTAACCTGAACAAATGACATTTACATGTACATGTATTCATTAGGCAGACACAAATGAAGAACATCACAAGCAGTTTGTCATGACAACCAACAATATTAATAGTACAGCAACTTCCCAGGGAATGCATAAACTGGTCAAATGTACTGTATACTGTAGCTTGAATAACATGTAAGTCACTCTGGATAAAAGTATTTATCTTTAGTTCCAGCAGATTAGATCTCACTAGACCAAGAAACTTCCAGACTGTGAGTGTGTCATGCTGCCTGACGATGTGTAGAGTTCTGTGATTGGAAGCTGTAGAGTTTTCAACAGCACATTCTGTGCAGGTCTGGGTAGATTACGCTCAACGTTATCTTTAAAAGACTGAATGGCCAGTTTTAGACTATGAAGATTTTTAAAATAGTACCTTCACAAAATCTAATGTAACTGGTACAATAATTAAAAGTTGAAAATTTACAAGAAATAAAATGCTGAAATTGTTAAAAGGAAGCGTAGTTAGCACAAATGGAATAGTTTGGTAAGTTTACCATATTTAGGGTGCATTTCTTGACATAGTCACAAAAAATTTGCAGTGTACCATATGTATTAACTTCCTGCAGAACTGTGACACAGAAAACATATGTTTGATCATCTCTTATTAGAATCCAGCAGAGAGGATCTGTGTGAGCAGTCATGGACGGGAGTCTGTTTGTGCTGCTTCTGCTGTCAGGTTGGTGTGCTCATTTGTAATCTGTATTTATGATGATGTGTTCACATATAGATGGTTTAACATGTTGATTTTAACAGGGCTCTTCTGGAGCAGTTCTGCTCTTTCTCGTCCATACCACTATATAAATGTGAGAATGTCGTGGCCAGAGGCTCAAAGTTACTGCAGATCGAAGTACACTGATCTGGCTACTGTAGACAGCATGGGTGATGTGAACAGGCTGGTAAATATAGTGGATGCTGGATACAGTGGATCAGTGTGGATTGGACTGAAGAGGGGGACACAGAAACGCTGGGGTTGGTCTAATGGAGAGAACACAACTTCTGAGTACTATAACTGGGATTCAGCACAGCCAAATGGAGATGGAGATTGTGTAGCTACTTTTTCCAGCGCTTGGCATGATGCGCCATGTAGCCATTTACTATATTTTACATGCTATACAGGTAAGTTTTTGTAAAAAGATGAATGTGCAGTTTAGCTGAGAATGAAGAGCTTCAAACTGTTTTTTTTTCCTCAATAGGAAATACTTCATATCTAATAACAATTAACAAAAACTGGGCTGATGCTCAAAGCTACTGCAGACAGTATTACACAGACATGCCCACCATCCACAACTCTACGGAAAATGACAACATATCTAAGATGCTTTATTCTGGATGGTACGTCTGGATTGGTCTGTTCCTGGACTCTTGGGAATGGTCTGATAAATGGATCCTCTTCTTCAGACACTGGGCAGCAGGTCAACCATCCATGAGATCAGGATCTGGTGACTGTGTTGGCATGTCAAAAACCAATTCTGGCAGATGGGCTCAATACAGCTGTGATCTACAGAGTCCTTTTATCTGCCATGGATGTGAGCATCTAACAAATTAGATCATGTTAGACAGAATGCCTTATTAAGTTGGCTTAAAAAAGGCAACTTACTGAAATCCTATTTAAACTTTAAAACAGCTAAAACCAGCCTAAGTTGATTGACTGCTTTGGCTGGTCTCCCAAGCTGTTTTTAAAGTGGTTTTGGCCACTTTTTTAGCAGGCCAGGCTGGTCTTAGCTGGTTTTTAGCTGCTAGCAAAATGCTAGCAATTTGTTTGCTAAACGTGTGAGAAACATGGTAGCATCATGCTAGTAACATGCTAATCATGCTAGTAACATGCTAATCATGCTAGAATCATGTTAACAACATGCTAGTAACTTGCTAATAATGCTAACAACATGCTAGTAACATGCTAATCATGCTAGAAACTTGTTAGTAACTAGCTAAACATGCTAACAAAATGTTAACACCATGCTAGTAACATGCTAATCACGCTAGAAACATGCTAGTAACTTGTTAATAATGCTAACAAAATGTTAACACCATGCTAGTAACATGCTAATCACGCTAGAAACATGCTAGTAACTTGATAATCATGCTAACAAAATGCAAACACCATGCTAGTAACATGCAAATCATGCTAGAATCATGCTAGCAACATGTTAGTAACTTGCTAATTATGCTAACAACATGCTAATAACATGTTAATCATGCTAGAAACATGCTAGTAACTTGTTAATCATGCTAGCAACATGTTAGTAACTTGCTAATTATGCTAACAACATGCTAATAACATGTTAATCATGCTAGAAACATGCTAGTAACTTGTTAATCATGCTAGCAACATGTTAGTAACTTGCTAATTATGCTAACAACATGCTAATCATGCTAAAAACATGTTAGCAACATGCTAGTCATGCTAGAAACAGCCTAGCAACCACCCCAGGTACCCTAGCAATATGTTTTTACCTATCTGTTTTTTTCTGATATACTGTATTGACTTGAAAACATTCAAACTTTATTCTTTAAAACTATTTTAACTTTCAAACTACTTCAAACTGAAAACTTTCAGACTGCAAGCATTTAAAACTTTTTAAAACTTTCTAGCTAGGCTTTTTCAAGCCAACTTAAAGTTTGTCTACAAACTTTTCAATCTAGTTATTTCTCCAGTGTTCTGTTCTGTCATTTCGTTTGTGCAACACTGCATTTAACAGTGATTGTGATTACCAGCACAACAATATGCTGATAACTATCAAAAGGACTAAAAATTAGCTTAGAGAAAGTGAGCAAAGAACGCTCCCTTTATAATCATCAAGGCTGTGACTGAGTTCTAAACAACCTGATCTCATGAGAAAACGTTGGCGATTTTGTATGAATCCATACCATTTTATTATTACACAGAAGTATATGAAAAGTATGAAGGCACGTTGTGAATGAAAGCATGAATACAAAGTCACCACCAGTTCGCCAAAAAGTGTAATAGTTACGAATTGCCACGAGAGTGACTTTGATCAGACTTTAATCATGACTATATCTCTATGATATTTATATCTCTAAGCATATATGATCTTTACCAACTTTTTATTTTCCTCCTAAAGGGCCTAGGCCTTCAGTACCAATGTACCAGTTTATGAACCAAAGTATGACATGGCTTGACGCTCAGAGATGCTGCAGAGCAAGATTCACTGATCTGGCCACTGTTATGACCATGAATGACGTGAGAAGGCTGGTAACTACAGTGGATCCTGGATACAACAGTTCAGTATGGATAGGTCTCCATGCTTTGGGGGTGAGACGTTGGCTCTGGTCTATGGGAGACAGCGCAATCTCCCAGGACAGTATGTGGCATCCAGGAGAACCGAGTGGTGATGGGGAGTGTGTGAGGAGTTTTAATGGAAGCTGGTATGATGAGAGCTGCAGCACCGTTCTCCCATTTGTGTGTTTCAATGGTGAGTCCTCTTAGTTGGAGTTTGTTTTTTCCACTTTAGCTGATCCTTGACTGAGGGCTGGTCCTTATCTTGTGTTTCTGAACAGACAGCACTGGTTTTATTATTAATAAGACTGCTATGACATGGAGAGATGCTCAGGGTTACTGCAGACAACACCACACTGATTTGGTGAGTATCAGCAGCCCAGAGCAGCAGAATCTGATCAGTAATGAATCATCGCTCTGGATTGGTCTGTTTCTGGATTCTTGGGAATGGTCGAATCGGTGGCACTACTTCTTTAGATACTGGGCAGCAGATCAACCATTACTGAGTTCAGTGTCTAGTAACTGTGCTGGCATGTCAGCAACCGATTCTGGGAAATGGGCTCAATATAGCTGTGATCTAAAGCAGCCTTTTATCTGCTATGGAGGTGAGTTTCCCCCATTCAAACGAGATTTGTAGGTCACTCTTGAAACAGACATTAAAAACAACTGTGATATGTTTTCATTTATTCTGTGTTGAGGATGATTTTAACTCTGTATTTCTCTAGATGACAAGTTAATTAAAAAACAGGTTGTCAGAGTGAAATTGTCCTGTAATGGAAAATGCACATTGAATGATCCGTCACTACAGACGACCATTCTGAATGAGGTTTGTATCCGCCTCAAACACTGAGTTCAGTTTCATTGTCAAATTCTGAATGAATAACTGTGCCCTGGCAACCATCCACAACACCCTATAGCTTTGTGTGTTTTCTCTCATTTCACATTGTTGCAGTTATTAGGTTTTGATTCTTTCTTGCTGGTCTTCCAGATAAGCAAAAAGCTGAAGAGCATGGGGCTGGAAAGTGACAGAAAATTAAGTTGGAGAAAGGGGCAAGATGGAGAAGTGTTTCATCAGGAGAGAAAATCTAGAGCGAGTTCAAATACTGTGTGCAATAGGCAGTAATCTTCTATTTCTCTATTTAAACTTTCAAATAGGTTCAAATTATATAAAAGATATATAGTAAAGGTAGATTGTTTTAAGGAACTGTGAAGTAGTTGTAGTATTATCCGTTATTTAAACATCATTATTAGTGAATAGTGATAGTATATAATATATTTATTGTAAATGATTGTCAAATTATTTTTCTTTGACTTTTCCTGTTCTAAATATACCATTTACTATAGTTTCAAAAGGAAATATTTTAATTGAAACCATTGAAAGTATAATTTAAAAAAGGTTTAATGCAAAAAGAGATATATATGAGCTATTGTACTTATAATTAAAGTATGTTCATGTCGTTCTCATAATTAATTGAAATTTGATTGGCAGAAATGATCCTGTAAAATGATCCTGTAAAATAAAAGTTGCTTTATAAAACTGAACTTCGGAAATTCAAATTTTATGAATTCATTATCATTGAAGCAGCCCTTTAAATTCTTTAAAGGGGTCATATGATGCTGCTAAAAAGAAAATGTATTTGGTGTAATGAAATGTGTTTATGCGGTTTAAGGTTAAAAAAACACATTATTTTCCACATACTGTACATTATTGTTTCTCCTCTATGCCCCGCCTTTCTGAAACGCTTCGATTTTTACAAAGCTCATCGGTCTGAAAAAGCTAGGTGTGTTGTGATTGGCCAGCTATCCAATGCGTTGTGATTGGCCGAATACCTCAAGCGCGTGACGGAAATGTTACGCCCCTCACCATACTATTG